CCCAAAGTGGGTGGTGGCGAGTAGCCTCCCACTGCCTTCATGACGGGAATTACTTGGGCTTGGTGATATTTTGTACAAAGGTATTTTTGTGTGGCTTTTGCTGAAGAGAGGGGTTGGGAGCAGCCACACTGCATCATCCTGAGGCATTGGGTGGATACAGCGGGATACCAGAAACCCATCTGCTCCTGCAAAGCCTAATTCTTCCTTCCTTAGACTTTGATTCCAAAACAGACTTCAGACTTTACTCCTTAAATGACTATTTGTGGATTGTGGTATTAAAATGTGTATCATTTTTCCTGGCTGCTGACATGAGGCTATTTCCATGGAGAGAACTCAAGTGCTGCTGGAGATACCGTGCGCCTGCTGGACGTGCATGCTCCTGGTTTGCTTGCTCAGCATTTTCTGCAGAGCGCTGCCAATGTAGTGATGTGGTTCTGCCTGCAGTAGTTTCTGCAAGCAATCACTCAGCCTTGGGGGAAGCATCTCCCTTGCAAAATGCATACATGTGGCAGGGGCCAGCAGGTTCAACCACATTTGTGACTTTGCCTGTACCTCGTGGGAGTCTCTGCTGGGTAGGAAACAGGCTTTTTCCCCCCACATTTTGCTTTGTGGCTGGCAGAGTAGGCTTAGGCAGGAGGGAAGAAGGGCCCAGTGACTTAAACCAAGTTCCGACAGCAGTCTTCAAACACTTGCTTAGCAAACATTTTGTATCTCATTGCACCCAAGTCCTGTTGACTTTCTGCCAAAATCCAAGTAGTTCCTCGATATATTTATTTTCTACCCGGTGTGAGCAGGATGTCCTTACCAGGGAGTGCCATTGGATGAAGGAGGTCGGGAGATTTCCTACCACCTACCAGTGCTGGTATGAGGAAGACAGCAAGAACATTGTGGTGAGGGGAGAGCAGGACAGGGGGAACACAACCCGTTTAGTCCATCTCAAGCTGTGGTTTGTAACTGCCCCTAAAGGCTTTTGTTTCAGGAAAGTTTTGGGTTTTTTTTTTTTTTTTTTTTTTTTTTTTTTTTTTTGCCAAAATTAATCCTCTCCCTTCCCTCAGTGGCTTAAATTTCATTTAACACCTCTTTTGAGCCAGGCTGTGTTGCTGGGTATTGAGGGAAGCTCACTGAAGTCCAACCCAACACTTGTGCTGATGCATCAGCTGTGTCCAGTGGAAGGAGACAAGCTCTCTCTGCATCCATTTTGGGGCAATTCCTTCTGATTTTCTTGCAAGTTGAAATAAGAAGTAGGACATGGTTCATCTGTACCTCTCCCACCTGTGTCACTTGGCGGAAGTCTCCAGCTCAGTGTTTCCTACAGGCCTCCAGTGGCCTTGAGGGAATGGGCACTCTCCATTGTACAAGGGGAATAGAAGGCAGGAAAAGCTACATGGCTTCCTGGAGATTCAAGAAGCGGAGCTCAGATTTCTTTCTCCTAGTCACCACCACCCCACCTTTCTCCCTCAGATGGATAAACCCCTGTTTCAATTCCCCCTCCCTCCATTCAGCTGAGGGTTTTAATGTAGCAAGTTCAGATATGACAGTTAGTGAAAAACTTTTGTCTCTGTGTGATCCATTACAGGGCAAGGTGTGAGTGTTTCTTGATGAGCTAAAGCAGCAGATAAATTAATACCCTGTCCTGGAGACCTGTCCCTTCCTGCTGGGGCCATCTTGGGAACAAACAGAAGGGTTTCTTGCAGACCTGAGCGCCCAGGGGGATGAGGATCCTTACCAAATGGCTTTTTAAGAGATGTGAAAGCAGGTAGCAAACACGCAGGTTTTTAAAGTGTCTCCTTAATGCAAGCATCCTTAGGAGCCATTTTAAGGGAAGCACACATACATTTAGCTATCCAAAACTTTATAGGGGCTTTTATTCAACTCATCTGAACTTTGACGGTGGGGGAAAAGCTGTGAGAGGCCTTTTTCCCGGCACAGTTGCTGTTTGCAGAGTTGGGTTTGTGTGTTTGCAAGCAGATCTTAGTCTTCAGCTGAAACTTGTTCCAGAAAAGACAACTGTCTTGGGGGAAGGGAGCCTGGGCTCAGCACAGGATTTAGCAGCCTCGGTTTGCTGGTCCCAGAGCTGATACAGCTCCTGCTGCACATCTTTTTAACATTACCTTTTCAAACTATAGTGGAAACATCAAACCTTACTGCGGCTTTGTGCATTGCATTGGCCATTGTTGCAGGTGGAGAAAGCAGAGGCTACACAATATTGTTCATGGTTACAGACAGAGGTGCCTGAGCCAGGATTAGATTTCGAGCCTGCTTCCCAGGCAAGTGGTTCATTTTCCCAGAAAGCTTCTTGCTTTGTGGGAAATGGGACTGGGGAGGAAGAGGAAATTTCCATCTAGAACAAAGGCAAGATTTGGTTTGGGGTGATGGAAATGATACTACAAAATACATTTCAAGGACTGGACCAGAAATTGTTAGTATTAGCTATCAGGTATCAGCTGGAAGCCGTGTGAAGTGTTACAATGAAGCAAAGATATTTACTCATTCCTTTATAAATAAAAGGATATTTCCCTCCCCATACACAAGACAATGCTCCTTTGCTTTCCTGGTAATTTAACCAGTGCTTAGCAAAAATGCTTAATCTTCCATAACAAAGCATGGTGTAAATATCAAGAGAACAAATATCAAGGCTTTAACAAGGAGTGTCAATATTGACACTATTCTGTGTTGAGGGATATTGGTAGGTTGTTTTTATTACAGTATGCAACTTGTCAGAGGTGAACTCGGAGCTTTGCAAGTGCCGATAAAACCTGCAGGTGCTACTGAAATCGAGTTCTTGTTTGTGTGTGATTTGAATATAATTTCCAGTTTCAGAAGTCAGCTTTATGACTTTCTCATACCCCTCCTCCCTTGCAGTCTCCCACAATGCAGATTAAATGTTCCTCTCAAAAAAGAGTTATTGAAGGATTGAAGCCCTCTTTGACTTGCAAAGAGATCTTCCTAGTCTGATGAGTTTGTTCCGTTACATGAAAATTACCTAAGACGAAGTGCAGGTGTTGGTATCAGGATCGGGTCGGACACATTACACCTAGCTCTGGCAGAAACTGATTTTTCTCCAACCTTCTTACAGTTCTGCTTCCACTGCATCCCAGGTCATCTGCACTCCTTGCTTGATGGCTGTTGGAAGCAGAAGGTTGATTCCGTACGGCAGATTAGGCCACGTTGAATAGCTTAAATGCAGTCTCTGTCTCAGGTGCCACCTATAAAGGGCTTTCCATGCACTGCAAAATTGGAGGTGAATCCTGCCACCAGGTAACAGCTTGGAGACTTGGCAACTTGAGGAGTTGCAGGCTGTGGAAGGGCAGGTCAGGTTCCTCCCCAGCATCCTGCTTCCTTGGGACAAGTTGTTTAAACTTGGCATGTTGGATCTTCAGTTGGAAGTAATACTCTCTTCTCTGGCTGGGTGTTGTGAGAGTACCCACTTCAGTAGTAGATGGGTGTTCAGGAATGAAAATGAAGCTACAGAAGGTATCTGGGGCCTGGAGCTGATGCCTGGGCCCAGGCTTAATGTTTTCTTTGCCAGCTGTAGGCTGCTCGCTACTCAGTGTCTTATGAAGAATGAATTGAATCACCTTACAGAGTTCTTTCAGAAGCGAATGGTTTGCCATATTGAGTAGGAATCATAGGCTGGGTTGCATTTAGATTGTCCAGACATGGCCCTGGCTGCCTTAATCTCAACACTAAAGGTTGCACAGCCTTTGGGGATGATAGAATCATGAAAGCATTGCAAAATTTTCTAGCCAGAAGCTTAGTTCTGCACTTTGCAAAGGTCTGGCTATTTTAGGAGTGCAGCACTTTAATTTCACCATCCTGTGGGACCCTTCTGTGTTTTCTACCTGCTTGTCAACACATTTTATTGGGATACCTATGTTTTCCATGATTGCAATCCATCAAAATAATGACCAGAACTGATCTTGCCTTAGGATGGGTAATTTCAAAGAGAGACAGCTGCAGGGCATCTCAAGATTTGTGAAATCATGAGCTTCATGGTACCTTTCTGTTTGTCTGCTTACATGTTGTGTGTTTGTTTCCTTCTCCTTATTTTAAACTAATCCTCAAAATGCCACAGGGTATTTCCAAATGAAGAGAGGCTTAGGACAAAACAGGCCACCTGCAGGTATCGGTGTTCCCTTACCTGATTCCTTTTTTAATGGCTGTGTCTGTAATTGTGTTTCAGTGCCACCATGGCTATGGGGGAATTTTTTTCACTTTGAGCAGTAGGAACTCCTCAGTCTTTTGGTACAAGGTTCTAAAGGAGGAAAAGCTCATAGGCTGTGGAGCCTCCTTTGTTTGTGGTGACCAAGTGTTCATTTGGGGAACAGAGTTGCTTTTTGCTGAAAGTCTTGCTTGGGTGGAGAGGCAGCATGAGCTCTGTCAGCCACAGCTTAAAAACATGGTATTTATTATATGGAGACTCATCCAGACAAGCCTAAACTGGGATCCAAGTGAGGAATAGGCACTGGTCTGGCTCTCCTCTGCAGGATGAGTATTGTCTGTTCTCAGTTACGTCCTGCCCATGTAAGAATCCATTTATTTTTAGGTGGTGTTTCCCAAAATAGTGGTGGAAAGGGAGGGGAAGTCAACTGCGTGACATCCCAGCAAGCGCTAAGTAGCACCCTGGAAGGTTGTCTTTCCTAAACAGGGTTTCTGTGGATAGAAAATAACAGAGTATGGGTTGCCTTGTACATCCCACTGTTAGGATTCTGTGGTTGAAGCACTGGCCAGAGGAGACTTTAGGGGAGTGTGTCTCAGCTGGGCTCTTGACTTCATCATGAGCTCCTGTTGTGTGCCTAAGCAAACCAAACCTCTTAGCTCCCCAGCTCACACCAGCAGAGGACAATAACCCCCTATGGTGAAGCTCACATCGATGAGCTGCGTAGCTCCCAGGGAGGCAAATGTGTGAGTCACCTAAAGCACAGTGACGTGGATTTAGGTCTCCTGGGATCGGTTTCTGATTTTGCTTGAACTAACTTGGGGTTTGAATTTTACTTCAGGACCAGGCCATGGGGAGGCTGAGACAAGGGAATGCATTTACTACAATGCCAACTGGGAGCTGGAGAAGACCAACCAGAGTGGTGTGGAGCGCTGTGAGGGAGAGAAGGACAAGCGGCTCCACTGCTATGCTTCTTGGAGAAACAACTCGGGCTCCATCGAGCTGGTGAAGAAAGGCTGCTGGTTAGACGACTTCAACTGTTACGACAGGTAATAGCCTAGCTGTGTTTTCTGCACACAGGTTTAATTGTTCCTTTAAGTGCAAAGGCTCATGATTTTTGTATTGGGGAAAAGAAAGCAAGTCCAGGTCACTTGGCCTTGTAATTACTTCTGTTGCTAACATACCTCTTGAAATTGTCACTTACCTGCCTTGCCTTTATAAATAGAAACTAAAAAAGGCTACAAAAGGCAGTTTTAGGTTTGTTTCTGTATTTAGTTGCGGTTTGTTTTTTGTGGTTTGTGGGGTGTTTGGGGGTTTGCTTTGTTTTTTCTTAGCAAAGATTTGATAATTATAGCATTTGTTGAAAAACCTGTCCTGTACCATCAAATGAAGAGCAGTATGTTCTTCCAAGAGCATTTGGCAATACAAAAGAAAACTTGAAATTATTTAGAGCTCTCTAGAAAAGCATGGGTACCTGGGGGTGATTAGAGGTTGAGGTATTTGGCATCTGTGATGTTGCAAAAAGTTTCACTGTTCTTTGGCTGAGTTAAGAGACTGACCAGGAGAAAGAATGGGGTAGCAAAGCAATATGAATGTTTATGTCATTGCCTGTACGGAGCTGAAAAGAGTGAGGCTTTGTAGTACGGAGCCTCCAGCCTCATTAAATAGCTAGGAAAATAAACTAGTGTTTTCTTATTTCCCTTGATGCAATTCTGTAGGGGGAGACAGAGTTACGGCTAAAGAAAATAGCCCTCTGAAGTTTCACAGTTTAAAAGGACAGTGTTCAGTAGCCCTAGACTTAGTGTTTCTGTTATAAAAACCCAATGACCAACCAGTCCAAACCCAACCCTTCCAAGAAGGGTTAACAGAACACAAAATTCAAGGATTTCCTTAGATACAACACCAGCGTAGGCTGATCTCACCTTTGTGCAATTCCCATCTGCACATCTTTGTAGCTTCTCATTCCAAAAATTCTAGGATCTTAAGCTGTGGGGATTAATCTGGGACTAGATTTACCCCATGGCTGGAAAGTTTTCTCCCTTTGGCACTGTACATTATCTCTGCTTTTCTGCCTGTTGTTATAGCTTACCCCGACGGCGAGTTGTTCCTCATCTTCATTCTGTTATTAGCACCGGAGTTACTTTCCCACCACACCTATTCCCTTGCCATTTGCATAGCCAAGCTCTATATATAGTTAAATTTTTATTCTTTCCCGATAAATCAATCCTTCTTGGCCCATTAGTCATCTTAATGCCAATCCTTCTGAGAACAGAAGGTCACTCTAGTTTCCTACTTCCAAGCAGAAGTGTTTACTGTAAACAGATTTCTCTTTTCAGTGCCTGCTCTCATATACAGTGCCACTTGTATTGTCAGTGAGTGTCTCTGTGCAGGGATGTAGTGGTTCTTAAACTTTGTCATGATGTGTTGCTCTGTTACAACAGTAAAAAGTTTCCAAGGCTCCTCACCAGCCTTTTTGCAGCCCTGGGGTTGAGCATCCATTATCCTGCAGCCTGATTCTTCAAAGCCACAGTTCCAGGGCAAAGCTAAAAGATCTTCTGAGAATTAACAAACAGTACAAGTGTTGAAAGCATCATGTGAAATAAAGGTTAGTTTTAATTAAATAAAGGCTGTTTAAATGCAGTACTTTTTTCCTTCCCTTGAGTGCCCTCAGCAGCCTTTCATGCAGGTAGTGTTGCATCCCAAGATAGAAAAAAATGGCTAAAAAAGATGACTTATTGATCAGCGGTGCTGTGCTGATGCCCTTTTTGTCTCTGTCTTCAGCAGCTTTGGAAGGCGAGCTTGGCACAGCCTCAGGAGATGCACCTGTATCTATATGTGCAGAAGCATCCCCTGGATGCAGGGCATGGTCCTTATTTTGCCAGGCTGCAGCTCCTCTTGGAACACAAGCAGTATGTTCTGTTTTCCAGCACTGCCTCATTGTCGCTGGAAGGGGGAAAATTCAGGAGTGCAAGGGCTGGGATGTTGATGGCAATACCTCCTTACTCTGTTCTTTATCTTAAGGAAACAAGAACGTGGCACGTGTACATTTAAGGTTATAGGGAAAAGGTAGTGTTTAAAAATTGACTTGTGCTCTTCATTTGTTTACACAGCCCCACTAGAGAGGTCATGTTCATGTTGCCTTGAAGAGCACATGAACCACTATGAAACCTGTCCTCGCTGCCATAGAAAAATGTGTCATTCTCACCCACTGTCTCATTTGTAATATTTGCTAAGTATAACATGTCATATGTACCTGGATGCCTGCCCTGAGTGCACACCAACTCAAAGACAGGGATAATGAATTGCAGATGTGGAGCAGGCTGTTTTCACTCATTAGCTTGATTTTTTAACCAACAGATTTAGCAAAGGATGTGTTTTCTATTGAAGACTCCAATACTGATGCTGTTAAATCCAAACGGCTTGTTATCTGATTTCACAAAAAAGCATCTGGAAACATTACTTAACTTGTTGAAACATCTTTGTTCATTTGAATAAGTCAAATGACTGTTTGTGGTTTTTTTCTTTCTTTGAAGTTTGAAAAAATAAAAGCTAAAAACAAACCAAGTGCTTCCCAGCTGAGATCTTGCAGGAGACATTTCAGCTATAGCCACTATTTTTTCCTCCAAAAGGAATAAAGCATTGAAAACTACCCTGTGTTACGATTGAAGAGAGTCCTTTCTGTTTGTTTTGTGGCAGTGTATCAGTGATACCACAGAAAGGGAGGCTTGGCATGGGTTCATAAATGAGTAATAATGTCAAACACATATGATTGTTTTGCTACTTCCTCCAAGTGGTTGAAGGAAGGAAGTTATGCATATAATTTAGCTGGGCTTCAGGAAATAGTTTGATACAGTTCTCTGCAGAGAGCAGCTCTGCAACTGTAATAACTAAAAGCAGAGGGTAATGTAGCAAAAGGTGTCAGGGAAGGGAAGCAGGCATTTAAGAAGGAGAAATGACTACTAGATCACTGATGAAGTCACTGCACATCTCTTGGCATTGATGTGTGGGAGAGGGAGGATGTGTGGAAGTGGAGTTGGTCAGATCTGTGGAAGTCCCCTAATGCCTTATGCAGTGCGCAAGAAAACCTCAGTGCTGAGAAGGCTAACAGGCAAATACAAAAAGTGAGACCGCAACCTGATTTTTTTAAAGGCTTTTGTGCAGAATAAATGTTTTGAAGAAGATGGCACTTTAAAGTTAAACCTTAAAAAAAACCCAACAAAACCTGAAGCTGGGCTGTTGGTACTGTTGTCTGATGCCTTTCTAGATTTAGCGATGCTAAAGTCTGTGAGAGCAGTCTTAGCTCAGCTCTTGTCTTATGTGCTTTATGGCACAATCTTTAATTGCATGATCAAATACTCTTCTGCCCTGCCAGCATACATACGGGCTGCGAGAAAGACACTGTTCAGGGAATGAGGCATCTCTCCATCATTTTTCTACTTCTCATTCAGTTAGCAGTGGCGGCTGTTATTTATTACTCACCATCTAATGCCTTCAGTACATATGGAAGCATTTGTTTCCTTTACGGTCTTTTCAAGGGTCTTTGCTATCCACTGGGGTACTTGAGTGCTAAGTTGTTTTCTGTAAGTGGAGACTGCTGATCTGTGCAGTTCAGCAGCAGGAGAAGGCACATGGAGAAGACAATTTGGGCAGGTCAGCTCCCAAAGACAAGAGGCAAGAGTTGGCTGATGTCATTTTCTCTCTTCCCTTTATTGCTATGTCTGTCTGTCCCTGATGCAGGCAAGAGTGTGTAGCCACAGAAGAAAACCCTCAAGTGTTTTTCTGCTGCTGCGAGGGCAACTATTGCAATGAGAAATTTACCCATTTGCCTGAAGTCACCGGCCCAGAAGGTGAGTGACTGGGTGGATGGGCAGTTGGGGTCTCTTCCTCTAGACCCAGTTTGTGATAGCTTTGTTGGTTCTTGATGTGGAGTTTTTGGTTGTTGAGGGGAAAAAAAAGGGCATCCAGCAGGACACCATTTTGGCTACAAAGGCCAGAAATCCTTCTGCTATGGATCTTTAAGAATAGTTTCACTCCATGAATAAAGTGTGTTGTAATAACACCTTGGAGCCCATCAGTAAAGATTAGGTTTTCTTTATGGTGGACATTCACAGTGGGTTATTACAAAACAAAACCACACACTAGGGGAAGAGGGTAGAGTGATTTATACAGCATGGATCAAGACTTAAACTCTTAACGAGGTATTTGACACCTTTGTCATTAATTTTCATAGGTCTCGGGTCTCCAAATACTTTGAGCATCTGAGATTTTTGCATTTGATTGCTATCTTGCTCATCTGAGAATTGAAAGGGAATATAGGTGTGCATGTTAGCTTTCAGAGCTTGTAGATATACTTCAAGGAAGAAAAGTAATAGCAGTTCCTTCTTCAGAGGCTAATAGAAAAAATTATTCTAGCTAACGCTTGCTAAAGTATCGTTCAGTAACATTATTAAAGCAGGTGGATCTTTTCCTTAGGATGGTTTCTTTTGCAGTCAACTACCTACATTTACTGAGATGTTCCAATAGACCGTTATCAGATTTTCCTGTGCTTTCCTGTTAGGTTTTAATTGTTTACAGATGTTTTATTATCTCCTGTTATTAATGTATGCGTAGCAACCTAGTAGCAAATATTCTTTCTCTCACAGTTTTTTGTTTAATTTGGCAAGTCTTGCTATTTTTTCCTTCCCTGTCTCCAACATAGCAACATGGCTCCATTTAGTATTCCCATTGTTTGTGTCTCAACTGCACTGATGTAATTTGGAACAAGAACTACTGTGGGAATAGTGCATTTGATTGTGGCTGCGGCAGCATTTTACTAAAAACTGACATCTTGTCAATCACTGTAAGAGGCAAAGCAATGCTGCAAGGGATTTCGTGCACACTTAATACATTCAGAAGGGTTAAGAAGAGGAAATGTTCTGCTTTTATGTATCCTGGCAAGAAATACCCATCTTAAATAAAGGTCAGATGGAGGCTCAACTTGCGCAGTGTGGTTTGGACCATTGTAATTCCATTACTGAAAGCCATATGGAAAAGAGTAAACTACAGAGCCTTATGAATGCTGTTGGATGTGCTGGGTCATGCAACTAAGCATTGTCAACTTTGGAGCAGAAGGAAGGATGGGGTTTGATTGCATCTGGGCTTGTAGCTGACAGTGCTGTTGCATGCCTGAAGGGTCCTTTCCCACATTTACCCTGATCTTTTCTCACAGTCATATACGAGCCACCGCCGCCAACGCCCTCCCTGCTCAATATCCTGGTGTACTCACTGCTCCCCATTGCTGTCCTCTCCATGGCCATCCTCTTGGCCTTCTGGATGTATCGTCACCGCAAGCCTCCCTACGGGCACGTCGACATTAATGAGGTGAGGGAGTTGCTTCCCTTTACGTGGACCTTACAAAAGGCATGGAGGCTGCTCACTATATGTTCATGTCCACTTTTTCTTCACTCTCCTTAGATGGTCTAACTTCTTTCTGTTTTTAAAGTTGGTGGTGCAGTTGGCCTCTGTGGTAGTTATTCCCTGTTGGGGCTGATGGGTTTAGATAGGGTTAGCAACATGTCTGAGATTACTAAAGGGTGGAGTTACACAGCCCTGCTTGTTGGCTATCCTTCCCCTCCAAACTCTCAGTCCCATTGCTTGATTTAAGCCAGCTTTGCAGAGAAAGAGATCAGGGACATGATAAAGTTCCTACCAGCTTTATGGGACTAGGGGAGATGCTTTCCCTGTTGAAGCTCAGTTTTTATGAGCCATCAATGAATGCATGTAGGAGGTCATCCTCATGGCCCAAAGCCATCAGGAACTGGTCCTTGCTGGCTCTGCTGTACCCTGAGCATTTTGATTTCTTTTGAAGGGCCAAGCAGCTACCTTCCCCTCCCTCCCTCCTCTACCTGTTAGAGCCCATACTGTGAGCCTTTCTCATCTGAAAGCAGATAGGACAGAACTTCAACCTCACGCATCCTGTGAGGTTGCATTGTTTTCCTGGACAAATGCGGTTTAAACAGATACAATCTTTATGATGCTGACAGACCTGTTTACTGCCTGTTGCAGGGGTTATGTGAAAAATGCCTAATGAAGTACAAAGCAGTGGGAGGTTTTAGGTGTAGTTGGCTGTTTGGTCACATAGATCAAAAAGTTCTTACTTTTGGCAGGAGGTAGCCTTGAGGTCATCAATGTTTTACAGCCCAAAATAGCTCTTGCTTTGAAAACATGGGAGAATTTGGGTTTTGCCAGAGGATGGCAGGTGGTAGTTCGACACACAAAATGACACTTGGAGGTGATTTGTATTAAATAAAATGTTACTTCTTTATACCTTTTTTTTCCATCCACAGTCTCCCCATAGCTCCCTTCACTTGGTTTTACAGTACAGCTTCAGCTCGTGACAATGTTCTTCTCTCATGCAGGACCCAGGCCCTCCACCCCCTTCTCCCCTGGTCGGCCTAAAGCCCCTGCAGCTCTTGGAGATCAAGGCAAGAGGACGCTTTGGCTGTGTGTGGAAGGCTCAGCTGATGAATGACTATGTAGCAGTGAAAATCTTCCCTATTCAGGTAAGAAGGGCATCACATTAGGTTCTCACTCACCGAACTGCCTCACCGGTGCTGAGATGCCCTAAGTGCCTTTGGAGGTTATGATTTTTAAGACAATAACAAAGATACATTTGGACTCTTCTTCTGGGGGAAAAAGTTCAAGGACCCTTCCTTCCTACAGTTTTCTCTCTGTTATATCTCATTAGCAAAAGCTTCCTGTAGTAGTAGTTGTTGCAAGAAGGGCAAAACCAAACATTTTGAAATCTACAGGGTATTTTAACTTCACTGCAAATGTCTGTGTTGTTAAAGTCCAACAAGGCAGCATGCAGCTGCAATTCCCAAAATGCACACAAAAGCCCAAAGCCTTGGCTTTGTATGTATTGCCTGGGTAGATTGTAAATCCAGACCCAAACCTAGCAAACAGTTTAGAGCTTACAAAGGCACAGCCCCTGCACTGTGAAAGCTAATTGCACTGCAGCATTTCTGTCAGCTCATGTCTTCCACTTTAGGAAACCTTTGAACACTCCTGACTTCAGTCTCTAGGAACTGCAGATGGAAAGAGTAAAGCAATCAAAAGTCAGATGAAAGAAGAATGACTGAAATATGTTTGTGATCCTCTGCTATCTCCTTTGTTAATTTTTTGGCCTGTATTTGTTGTCATAGTATTGCTAAAGGAGATTTGTACATCTTCTGTCCAAACCAGCTGTGACCTACTAGTAAATATTCAATAGAGCCTAGATTAGATTTTGCAATCGTAACAGTTACAGCTACAATGCAGATATGAGTGCTGTATGCACTGGCTTTATTCTTGCAAGCATCCTTAGGAAATCTTGACGCATCTCATTTCTCAGTGAGGTTGAGTTTGGATTTCCCCACACATGTGCTGTAGGGTATGAGCTGAGGACAATTTTGGAGAAGGGAGACGGAGAACAGCAATTTCCAGTCTTTCTCCAGCATCTACACTTTAGGAAAACAGCTTCATTTTGAAGGGATACATCACATCTGAACATAGGAGGATGATATTAAGAGGACTGTGAACAGCTCTGGCTGAGCTGAAGGAGCTGTTTGCTTTAAAGGGAAGCATGATCTTTGATGGTGCATTTCTCCCTGCTTTAGGATAAGCAGTCTTGGCAGAGTGAGAGGGAGATTTTCAATACTCCTGGCATGAAGCATGAAAACCTTTTGCAGTTTATCGCAGCAGAGAAAAGAGGGACAAACCTAGAGACAGAGCTCTGGCTGATCACAGCTTTCCACGATAAGGTAAGGTATCATTGCATGTACATTCTGGGAGGGAAGAGAGGTGGCTGGCTGTGAAACAGCAGGATTTGATGTCTAATATTCTCCCAGAAGCTCTATTGTAATCTGTTCACTTTCTCCATGGTGAGCTGTGGCTCAGTGGTAGAAGAGAAGGGGTACAGCTCTCCTCCTTCAAAGGCCCTTAAGCTTTTAAGGCTTTCCTACACAAACATGGGATTAATAAAGGTGGGACTTGGGGTGAGAGGCAGGCACAAAAGGCCGCAGCTTACGTATGTGGTGGTCACCATCTCTTAACGTGGGAGTTGGGTGTCACAGACCATTGCAGTCCCAACTGACCCCTTGCAGATGGGCTCTGTGTTTGCTTTTGAAGCTCGGGGCACATCTCCCGTTTCATGGATTGCTTTAGTTATCAAACGTGACTAACACTTGAAATAAAACAAACATGCACAAATCCGGGGTTGAGCCAGCAGTATTATCCCTCTGTTTAATCCAAGGTCTACTGAGTCAATCATTGCCACAGCCAGCTGATATGATGCATAATCTTTTTGCATGGAAGGCTTTCTCCTTTCTTAGGTTAGATGAATTGCTGCGTTTTGAGATGATTTTGTTCCTTCCTTACCTCCCTCCCCTTCCCTGGCAGATTAGTAGACTCCTTTTTGACATCTAGATACTTTCTGTGCTGTCAAAGGGTGAGGACTGATGAATGCTGCTGGGGTTTATTTCTTCCTTTTTACTTTTTTTCCTCCCTGTTAAATCAAGGTTCAAATTTCTCAAGCACTCATTAAAATAATTTCCTAAACTGATGAATTGGCACATCTGTCACATAGCAGGCTCTGCAATTAAGAACATACAATGTCCTGTTCCACAGGGTTCTCTGACGGATTACCTGAAGGGCAACATTATCAGCTGGAATGAGCTCTGCCATGTTGCAGAAACAATGGCACGTGGCTTGTCCTACCTTCATGAAGACGTCCCTTGGTGCAAAGGTGAAGGCCACAAACCTGCTATAGCACACAGGTATGGCCTCTTTCATTGACAGCATTCAACTGCTGTGTTCAGATGTTCGCAACCTCTTTGAAATTATGCCGTTGAATGGAAAAGGAGGAGGTTGTGCTTTTAGGACGTAAATGCCTTTTAACCTAACAAATTCTATGCTACGGCAAGATTTTTTTTCAGCCACGTAGGAAATGGTGAAGAGCAAGTAAGTTTCTTGTCTGTGAAAAAAATTAGTATGATTGTTAGTAATTTCTGGCAAACATCTGAAGGTTAGGTGCTTCTCTCTTTGATCAACCCTTTTTTCGTGACATGTAGTGGGAAGGGAAATCTGGTTGCTGAAGAACTGTGCTTGATAAATCACATTATAATCTATGTATGTCTGTAGCCACACCAAGATTTGGTCCCTAATTTTCCCTAAGTATTTTAGACTGATAACTCCACTGTGTGCCTTCCCACAGAGCTTTTGATTGTTAGAAGAAATGGAGAAACTGTAGAAATGCAGAAAATGGCTGCTATATATTTTTCCCTGTATTTTATAGTGCTCAAATCATACTGGGGGAGGGGGCTCATGAGAGACACCAGAGCAGGGACCACAGAGCCTCTGAGATCTCTTAGCACCCTCTTCAAATCACCTGGGTTGTAGGACCCTCGGGACAGCAGGAATCCAGGAAACAGTGGGTTAAAGCATCCTCATTGCAATAATACGTATTTTAGCCCTTCTCCGAAGTCGCACACTGCTTGCCCTGGACTAAAGCATCTCTACCAGGGGTATGCTAGTGACACGGCAGCAGGGGGGAGTTTTCCAGAAGGGATTTACATGGGCTGTGCCGTAATCTGCAGCTGTACTGTCCTGCCACCCACCACATTTCATCTAGGAGGGACTTAAACCCCGTGTCTAGCTGCAGCAATTCGTACCCTATCTAGTGGGGCTCTCTTCATCTATGGCAAGATAATCCCTTTTTTGCAGAAGTGTCCCTGCCCCCAGAACAGCCCCCCTACCCAAACCTGAAGGTTCCTGAGAGCTGGGGGCTGTTGAAAGAGCCTGCAGTTGCCTTTGTGCTGCTCCTGGAGCTGACCTCTGTGTCCCTGACATTTGTCCCTGTGGAATAAAGGGCAGTGGTTTATACATGAAAATTCCTGAGGGTGGGGAGTAGAGAAAGGCTATAGAAAGGCTTTAAAGCAACAGATCGCGCTCATTAGTGTCCCCATCCATTTAGCAAATTATAAAAGATGGAGAATGCACTATTTGTGTGAGCTTAGCACATACCTACCAAAGACGGATTTCAGGACATAGGGGATTTCCCTTGGATTACCCCACTCCTTTCAGTTTTATTTTTGCTTTAAAAGAAAATACCAAATGCATTTTAAACTTTGGGGAGGGCGGGTATTTATGAATGGCTTCACACAAAGCATGTGAAGATGCTGGGGTTGCCAGGTGTGACTCCCCCGAGTCACTGCTGGGCAGGGCTTCAGCTAACTCCTTACTCACCCCCAGCACTACAAGGAGGATTAAGGTTATGGGATTGCTTATTGGTGCGAAAGTGCCCCCACGTGGAGGCTGAAAATAAAATCTCTGGTATCCGAATCGACTTAATGCACCCATCATTCACAGTCCCCTCATTCCCTTATTCCCTAGTTGAAAGCATTGCACAGGAAAATACATATATTTATTTTTCAGGCCACTTTCCTTTATCAGTGACCATTTTAGTATGATCTAATGCATGGGATGTTGTTGGGAATTCTACTTGGCATGGCTTGGATCAGGTCTTTCTCCCTGTCCTGTATATGTTTGCATTGCAGCTCACATGTGGCAGTTTAAGATGGTTTGTGGAAGGAAGGAAACAAAACATGGAAAAATGGGGAAATGTACAGAAACAGTGGAGAAAAAAATGGAAGCACAAAGGGAAATCACTGAATCATGTATCAAGATGTAGTAAACTGTTGCATGCCCAAAGGGCGATGTGGGTGAACAAAATGCCCATACAATAATACTGGTTTACATTTAACTTTGGAAATGTATTGTTCAGGCAGAAAGTCTGAGCATTTCTATGTGCTCCTTATTTCTGTGAATCACCATTTTGGAAAAATCTTGCACACAATCTGTACCATCCTGGAGGGCATAATCCCCTGATGCTGGCTGAGCAAAGGCGTTTATCTATGTCATTAGATGATGGCTGTTTTCTAAGCTTGTGGGAAAACTGCCGTAGCATGGAAGCAGTCTCTAAGATGACAGGTATTAGATAAAAGGCGGTTTTCTGTGTAACGGAGGGGTATGAATGTTTTGCAGCCTCTGCAAAACTGTACAGTGTCCCTAGAAACCTGATGCGTCCCCCTGAAACGATGGAGACTGTTTTCTGCTGGCATTCCATGGCTATATGATGCTCTACAACTTCCCGCCCACTTTCCCCATCTTAATCCTTGAGCCAGAAATTTCCATCATGCTGTAATTAGTTCAGAAAGGAAAAATCCTCTTGTAAGCTCAAAATCAGAGGCTGGGTGGTACAGAATGATTTTTGCTTGTGGTGCTTTGAGCTGGTGCTCTGGCATCTGAGGCCACAGCAAGCAGTCCTTCTCTATGGTCCAGCAGTTTCTCTCTTCCCAGAGAATTTTGACAGGTCTCTCTAGTGTGGAACAATTGTATCTGCCCTCATTAATTATTTGTGCAGGCCTGCAATGTCCTGCAATCAGCAGGGTCACTGAGTGAATTGATGATAGGGAAATTATAATGCTGAGCATACAGGACAATTGCCATCTGCTGTCTAAGGTCTGTAATTTAATTAGATTGCCAAACATTCCTTTTCAGATGAAAATGCAGGAAGCCCAGGGAACAGGGCTCAAGTGGTTAGGCATCTCACTGTGACCGTCCTCCACCCTCCTCCCCTTTCCAGCCCCCACAGACTTACCTGAGCTGCCCTGAAACAGTCCCAGTGCAGCACAGGACTGACACAAATGTCTCCTTAAAGCCACCTTCAAGGACAGACCCACCATCTCCACTGCAAATGCTTACACTTGCCTGTCAGCTGCCCAAGTCCAATCCCAACAGCTTTTCTGAATGTAGGCTTACCCCGTTTCCTGCTTGCTTTCCAGCTCTCTATATTCTCCATGAAGATCAATCCTGCAATTAAAACATAAGTGCATTAGATGACTATGGCAAAAGTCTGTTGAAGCATATAGTCAGGGTGAAGAGAGTCTCACCAGCATCTACTAATTTCCAGGAAGATCTGATTTTGTAGAGGGGAGTAAACGTCCTTACTAGGATAAAGAGTAAATGAACCCCTTAACCTCTCTTGCTTTTGTTGTTGGGAGTGAGAAGTATAAGTGTGTAGAGGAGGGGGTCCACAGCTGGTGCTCAGAGCAAGAAATGGTGCTTTATACTGCCTATTCTAATTAAAACACTGCCTTCATATCACTCCTTCATTTAGTTTGAGGTTAATTCACCGTAGAATTTAGTCAACTCTGTGCTGAGCAGCACAGGGCTGCTTGGTTGTGGTTTAGGGATATGGGCAATGAGGAGCAAGCAACTTTGCCAGTGCTGGCCATGATGGACAGCCAGGTAAGGAAGGAAGGAGTTGATTTACTGGTAGCTGCTAAGCCTGTAGACTTACAACATGGTGTGTTGCAATGTGATTTGGCTGTGTGCCATAATAAACCCTTCCCAAACTTGCTTTTTGGCTTGTCCATAGGGACTTCAAGAGTAAAAATGTCTTGCTGAAGAACGACTTGACAGCAGTGCTAGCCGATTTTGGACTAGCTGTACGGTTTGAACCTGGAAAGCCTCCAGGGGACACTCATGGACAGGTAATCGTTATCTTTAACAATCACATTTTTAAAAGTTTGGCTTGCCAAAGCTCCTTGCAAGTGGGGGAAATTTGTATAGTTTTAATTCTCTTTGAGATATGTATTTTCCATACATGCTTGCAGTCAGACATAAATTCCAGAAGCTGCTTTGATTTGGGTGAGTTGGGAGGGTGCTCAAACCCTCCTGACCACTGTGCAGGTGAGGTCACCCCAGCCCTGGGGCCAGGCAGCTTCTTCCTTCAAACACGGGACTTGTTGACTTTTTATTGTCTAGGTATTAAATTTTCATAGAATCATAGAATACCAGGTTGGAAGAGACCTCAAGGACCATCTGGTCCAACCTTTCTAGGCAAAGCATGGCCTAGACTAGATGTCCCAGGACCTTGTCCATCCAAATCTTAAAAGTGTCTAGTGTTGGGGAGACCATCACTTCCTTGGGGAGATTATTCCAATGACAGAATGTTCTCATCATGAAAAATTTTCCACTTGTGTCCAGTCAGAATCTCTCTGGGAGTAACTCGTGCCCATGACCCCTCATCTTTTCCATGTGGCTCCCTTTAAAAAGGGAATCTCCATTTTCTTTGTAGCCATCCTTTAAATACTGGAACATGGTGAGAAGGTCTTCCCTGAGCCTTCCTTTCCCAAGTTTGAAAAGTTCTCTCAGCCTTTCCTTATACGGCTTCTCAGCCCTTGGATCATCTTTATGTTTGTTCTCTGCACCCTCTCCAGCCTGGTCATATCTTTTTTTGTATATTGGGAACCAAAACTGAACACAGTATGCCAGGTGTGGCCTGACAAGCACCGCGTAGAGTGTAATGATGACTTCCTTTACCTCTGCTGGTGGTGCCCTTGTTGATGTAACCCAGCCTTCTGCTGGTTTTCTTTGCCCCAGCAGCAACTCATATTGAGATTGCTGTTTACCAGGATCCCAGGTCCCTTTCAACGAGCTGCTCCCCAGCGGGGTAGATCCCATCCTGTGCTGCTCTCCTGGATTCTGTTTTTCCAGGTGCAAGACCTTAAACTTGTCCTTATTGAACTTCATAAGGTTCTTGTTAGCCCACTCTTCCAGCCCATTAAGGTCTTCCTGCAGGGTGGCTCTCCCTTCCAAAGTGTCCAGTTCCCCACTCAGTTTGGTGTCATCAGCAAACTTCATCAGGGTACCACTGATCCCATTACCAGATCACATACGAAGGTATTAAACAGCGTTGGGCCCAACATCAATCCCTAGGAGACCCCAGCTGGAAAAGTTGCTATTGACCACCACCCTCTGGGTACAGGCAGTCAGGCAGCTTCCCACCCACTGCATGGACCACCTGTCCAGACTGTAGCACAAATATTAATACTCCTAAATATTAATACTACAATGCATATATTAGTGCTCTGAAAATCATTCGTTTAGTTTTAAGAGTTCAGTCAGGGTGGCTGCCTGCGTGACCTTTACCAGCAGCAGATCTTGTGAGCTGGCTGTGCACTGCCTCATCGATTGAGTACGTTTTTATAGGTTCTAAATTTTCTGCCTGTGCATTGCAGTAAGTAGCCCTCATTCAGATGATCTTAAGGTCTTTTCCAGCCCTTGCTGTTTTGTGATTCTGCTCTTGTGCGGGCCACAGCAAGGCCAGCATCCCGTGCTTGTGCCTGTGGGGTTTTCCAAGTGTTCACCTCCAATGCAGGCTCCCTTTTTACTTCTATTCTTAGAAGGAGTGAAGTTAGTCCCTCCCAGCTTTCCTTATTTTTGCCACTTTTGTATTTCCTGAGTTTGTGGATACCTTTTTCACATCCTGCCTTTCCCCTGTCCCCACTGACTCAGTAACAGCAAGAACGGATAAGAATTTTCTGAAAGAACGTATTAAAGAAGTTTCAAATCCCGTGTTAAAAAGGTGCTTTTCCCCTGGCTCTTCTCACCACTATCCTCCAGTATGGGCTGTAATTCTGCCACTTATATACTCACAACTATATGAGGACCTTAGTATGGCTCTGGCTGGACTAAACACAACTGTAATGAGGACTGAGTCCCCTCAAATTGGCGAGAGGGGGTCTTTTCCAAACTAGATCACAGCAAGCCAGGGCGGGGTAGACTTTGCAGGGTTCATGCTTCACTGCTGCTGTGCTTGAAGGAGACTTGTTTTATCCAGGGGTATCAAAACAATACCTTTTCCTACCATTTCAGGATGTATCAGTTTTACTCTTTTCATATAGTTAATTTTTTTTGAGTGAAAGGGGGTTGAACTTTCAACTATGATAACCAAGTCTGAGTTGACCTGAGGATGTTTGGTGTCTCCAAAGACAGCATTTTCTCATGGAGCGTATGCTGCCAGAGCAAGATGCGGTGGGATGCAGGGAAGGCAGGATTCCATCCGTACTTACCACACCACACTGTTTAAATTAGACCTGTAGCGTACCCTGAATGAATAACACACACATAGCCATGTACTTCAGCTTATCTAGACTCCAGTGATCTTAATGAGAATCTGTGTCAGAAAAAACAGCTCCCTTTTTCCTGTTTTCTGAGCGTGGTGCAACTTTAGCAGAAGTAGCCTTAAGGCTAATGAAACTGGCTGTCACTCATCTCCAACCAGTGGAGGCTGACAGGCCCAACTAGAATGTCATCTGACTTGTGTGTTTTTTTCTCTGTAGGTGGGAACAAGGAGGTATATGGCTCCCGAAGTGTTAGAGGGAGCAATCAACTTCCAACGAGACGCCTTCCTGAGGATAGACATGTATGCAATGGGACTGGTATTGTGGGAGCTAGTCTCCAGATGCAGAGCAGTTGATGGTAAGAGTAACGATTGTCTCCTCCCTGGGGAGGGCTTTGTTTCAGCATTGTTTAGTGGTCCAGACAGTGGGCCAGTCTTTGTGGGTTTTTTATTTTTTAAATTAATAATAATCAATGGTATATTTTTATTAAGCAGCTAGCCTGTTTTTCACTTGCATATTTTTTAAGATGATCTGTGATTCTCTGTAGATAATAACCTTTGTAGTGTTCAAGTCTCATTGTGCTTTTAACTGTGCTGGTTACATTGCAAATTGGCTGAGAACTCGGAGGAGGAGCAGGTGATTCCTCCGTCAGTGGTGGGTGTTCTGTAGCCCTGAGCCTGCTCTGTGTTGCTCTCTGTGGCACTTTGCATTCCTGCCCATGACCAAGACAGGCTTTGCGCTTCAGCTTCGCTGTCACACCTCACTTCTGCTGGTAGTGTGGCAGCCTGAATGGAATGCCCAGAAATGAAGCACCTTGATGAAGGAGCAGGAACAAAGGCTGGAAGGATCTTCTTGGGTCAGCAAGTCCATTTCCCTGCTATCCTAAGTCATTGGGTGTTAATCTTTGACTTTTGCTGATCAAGCCCCCTCTCAGCAGTGGGAAGAGTTTGTTGTTCCGTGTAGAGTTTTGGAGAATCTCACTTTCTCTTGTGTGATCCAAAAGAATGAACTTTCATGGTGTCTCCTTTCCCAGGGTTTGGTTGGTTTTTTTAATGCTAATATGATGCTGCAAAATGGGGCATCTTTTCTGTCCAGATAGCACTTCTGCCCTCTGGTGACACCCTTGCCATTTGCAGGACCTTGCCCCTGGTCAAGGAAGCAATGATTTCATTGTAGTAGCTCCAAGGCTGCTTGCTCCAACTTTTTTCTTCTTGTATGGATACGGGTGTTCATACATGAACAGTACCTCACCTGGACTTCAAATGTTTTTATTAGTATTACAGTAGGACCAAAGAGCCAATCAATCTTACACACAGGTGTGTGGTAAGAGAAGATGTTTTCTTCAGAAATTTTCTTCAAAAATTTACTATCTAACTAGCTAAAATGCTGGAGGAGCAGGAAGGTTAGGAGCACAGTGGGGTTTAACAGTGGTACCAATGTAGGAATGACCCTTCTCTGTTGAGGCTCCCCAAATAAGCATTTGGATTTTTAGACTGTCATGTTTGTGATTTCCTTCCAATTCTTCTCATGTAGCAGCTGGCCAACATACTGCAAATGCTATACAGACCACCATTACGTCAGAAGGAAGGCTTCCTTTAAGGTGGTGGGGAGTTACACTGAACCTCATCTGCACTTCTTGCTCAGAAGTGATGTTTTGTAAACAACAGATTTGGCTTGAAGATCATCAGTGCAGCTCTCCATAGCCTTGATCCCTCTTGGAGGAAGAGGAAGGGAAGGTCATAAACATTATTGTGCCATCTCTGGAACGAGTGTTTCAGTTTGGTTTAGTGACTGGTGTGCCATGTCAACAAGAATAGTGATAAGTTGTTTTAGTGATTTCATTTTTTTGGGGTTTTTTTTGTTTTTTTTTCCCATACCTAAACATCACATTGTTGGCATCACAGTTCCTGACCAGCTGAAGTGCTCGGCTCTTACTTTAGTCTGGAAAGGCCCTCTTGAAATATGTCTACTCTTGAAAGAGGTCACTCTTTACTACCAAGAAACCATAAGTGATGCCATGGAGCACTCTGAGAAAGCCCATCAGTTAAACTAGGCTGCTGTTTGTGAGAAAGCATCTACACATTGCCAAAAGCCAAATGATGTTCCGATAAGCAGAAGTTACTGCTACCTTCCAGCATCTGCATTGATACTTGTAACAGTTATCTCATTCCTGTGGCCCATAGCAGTTCACAGCCATAACTGGTATAACAAAACCATTCAGAAATCATTTCGCACTTAGGAACTGGTACTTGGGATGAGTGCATCTGGCTCTAGCAAGTCAGGGCTGACTCAAACCTATGACAAGCCAGATCACAAAGTAAGAAATTTTAAGTGTTCGGTATGTTTGACCATGCTAGTCAGTGCCTAAAATAAAATTATGCTCATGCTGAAACCTTTCTCTAGGTTATTGTGTGTTGAATTGCTATGCTAAAATGTGAGGATGTGCTGATTTGCCCTCTCTATTAAAATAAATCACAAACTACCCAACAAGCCTCCTCAAGGAGGGCAGTGGGATTGAGAGGCCGAGCTGAGGGTTCAGATTCTTAACTTGATGAGGTGGAAAACACGTAAGGTAGACAGACAGCGGGGACAGCAAAGTCCATTGTGCAGAATATAAATCACATTTGTCTGCAGTGCCATGTGAACTTCAGGCTTTGCTGCAGTGGATTGAGGTTGCTCTGGAGCCACAGCTCACTCATGCATGGGAAGGATGTGGCTCTGCGGAGGACATTTCTGTACTGACCTGGTTCTTTGTGTGCACCTTAGGTCCAGTGGATGAATACATGCTGCCTTTCGAAGAAGAAATAGGTCAGCACCCATCCCTTGAGGACCTGCAAGAAGTGGTGGTTCACAAGAAGATGCGCCCTGTGTTCAAGGATCACTGGCTGAAACACCCTGTACGTCCCTCCTGGTTAACGGTGGAAAATGTTTTCCTGTGTGATTGGAATGAGGGATGTGGTAGCACATCACTTGTAGGCTTCAGGGGGAAGCTAACCAGTCCACCCTGGTGCATGGATCTGCTCGCCAGTGCTAAAGAGAGTCAGTGCTGGGAATGAGGGGTCGCTTAACACCTTCATGTTCCCTTTTCCATTTCTCCTTCTATTTAGAGAGTAAGTTAGCTGATTAAAGACAGCCAGTGCTAAACATGGAGTGTGTCTGGTGGTATAGTAGGATTCCTTCAATATGGTGAAAGAATGGAAAATAAAGTGTTTTTCATTAAGAAAAAGAAAATGATCCATAACATCAGAGATGCATACCTCACAAACTAGATAGATGCAAGACTTGAACAATTTTTTGAGGAAAAATTAATTAGATGTGAAGCAAGCAGGCAATGAAGCAAAATGCAGCATGGGTTTCCCAGAGGTAGAAAATTTCAGACTTGCATTTTTAATAAAAGATAGTATTTTTTTCAGACTGGGAAACTAAGCAGATGATGAAATCTCGCAGGGCTTCAGAAAGAAGCTAAATGCATCTGTTCAGACCAAACTGCCATGGTTTTGGCTAGACTCAGGTGCATTAACTCACTGCCTCGAAGTTGAGGGCTGTGGGCTGTAGGTAAAGATGAGTCTTCAGTTCAAATGAGGGTTCAGGTAAGAGCTGCGCTCTTCCAGCAGTGTTGAATTTAGCTATTCTGGTTATATAAAATCATAGAATGGTTTGGGTTGGAAGGGACCTTAAAGCTCATGCAGTTCTATTCTCCTGCCATGGGGAGGGACGCCTTCCAGAAGGCCAGATTGCTCAAAGCCCTGTCCAACCTGGCCTTAAACACTGCCAGGGATGGGGCAGCCACTGCCAGTGCCTCATCACCCTCACACCCTGTGCCTGTGTCTCATCACCCTCACAGGGCAGAATTAGTTTTCAGTTTCTCTTCAGAAGTGACTGCAAACACAGCAGTGGTTTCATAGTAACTGATATGATGCTGTCAGCTCTCATGGTTTTATCATGGGAATCACAATACTTGATGTCTTGTCTTTTAATACTTTAATTGACGAATCTTTGGCTATATTTTTATATTAAAGAAAGTACTTTTGAGGCTATGAAAAAAAGTTGTGTATGACCTAGAAAGCAAAAGCTTTAAAAAAAAATCCCGAAACACATATTTAATGTCACTTTTAATGCTTATCTTGTGATAATTAGCATAATTTTTTGAATTGGCATGATGTTTGGGAAATTGCCACAATAAGAACAATCAGCCATTGGAATAACTTTCCCAAGGAAGTCATGGATTCCCCAACACTGGACATTTTTAATATTCGGCTGAACAGGGTGCTGGGCTATCTAGTCTAAGTCATGCTTTGCCAAGAAAGGTTGGACCAGATGATCCTTGAGGTCTCTTCCAACCTGGTATTCTATGATTCTATGATACCATGGAGAAAATACTCTTTACAGCGTTAGGCTGTGTTAAGTGGACCTCCCCATCTGCTGCAGACAGTCCCTGGAGCAGGCTTTGGTGCTGACAGTGCTTTCTCCCCCTTGTTGCCTGCAGGGCTTGGCGCAGCTCTGCGTGACCATCGAAGAGTGCTGGGACCACGATGCGGAGGCTCGGCTCTCGGCAGGCTGTGTCGAGGAGCGCATTGCACAGATCCGCAAATCTGTAAACGGCACTACCTCGGACTGCCTCGTCTCCATCGTGACGTCCGTCACCAACGTGGACTTGCCGCCCAAAGAGTCTAGTATCTAAGTCCTGGTTCACTTTTGTCTTTCCAGACTCAGTGGATTAAAAACAAAAAAAAAAACAAAAAAGAAGAAGGTTTTAAGGAAAAACCCACACACAAAAAAAAATCCACAAAAAAATACAAAAATCCAACAAACACATGAATGCAGCTGCTATTTTATCTTGACTTTTTATTATTATTGTTATTATTATTATTATTATTTTTTTGGATTGGATCAATTTTACCAGCACATTGCTCTACTGTATTAAAAAAAAGGACATTTCAGCAAGCATTCAGGTGCCGACTAATGAATGCAGAAAAGGTGCAGGTACCTCAGAACCTCAACAAACTCACTTCAGTTGTTTTTATTTTATTCAGTTTTCTGGGTTTCTCTTTATTGGTCTGTCTTCTGAGCGGAGCATCTGTGACATAAAGGAAAACCACCTACCATCTTAGAAAACGCAATGCTGCAAGCTGTGGAGGAAACTTAAGACTGTTATGTAAAGAATACACCTTCCTCAAAAGGATGTTTTTCCCCATTTTGTTTTGATTTTGGGTTCAGTTCCTTTTGGTTCTCGGGTTTTTTTGGAAGTGAGCTTACAGCAGATGTGTCTTTTACGGATCTAACGGGTGTCATTGTAACATGGAAAAAAAAGTAACTGGGCAGAGAATGTTAATTCTTGATGGTAGAATTGAAGGGGGGAGCGTAGAATAGGGGTGGGGAGAGCGACGTTGGATTTGGCAGCATTTGGGGAAACATCATTTGCTATGGAGCTACTTCTCAGGTAACCATAGAGGAGAGGAAGGACATTTCTGGGCAGAGTATTAATGACTGCAGAGTGTGGAGAAAGCTGAGTTAAAGAGCCAGTGGTTGTAAGCAAGGCACTAGTTCTTTCTTCCTCCAGTACCTCAGGCTTGGGTGGTAACAGAACAAAGCAGAACTATAATTACCTTTTATTTTTCAACTCCAGGTAGTAATGAGAAGGATGCTTTTAAGCCATGTAATTGGAAGAGGTGGGAAAGTGTGTTTTCAGACGCACTTTGGTAAAAGACTGGAAGATGGCAAAATTTTTGCATCTTACTTCAATTGTGAGTCAGTTCAGCAAATTTGGCCTTGGGGCTGGTGATCTGTCAGCCTAAGCTACAGGTGCAGATGGTGGAAAAAGGGAAAGTGTGAAAACTGGCTCTATAATTTATTTTTTTTCATTATTAATTTGGGCTTCGGGGGTGGTGGGAATGCCTGAACCGGTGGCAGATGGCTCCTGTAGCATCTGAGACACCTATGAGCTGCCCAGCTGCAGGAGGCAGAGGCAGCTCAGCAGCAGCAGTGATTATCGCAGCATCTCTCTGACTGGTTTCTTTGACGCTGCTTTCTCCTTGCTCTGTGACAAAACTCTTTTGTCTTAAAGTGGTGCATATTCTAAAATACCATTACTCTTATTATGCCATAAACTCGCTCTAGTCAGTGAATGTTCCTAATGCTGCTGATTCAACATTGAAATATTTTTTTAATTTGCAAAACATGCAATGTTTAAAAAAAGGAAAAAAAAACCCTAAAAAAAAAAGAAAAGAAAACCAACAAACACAAAACACACACGTTACGTGGCTTCCGAGGTTTAAACTGAAAAAAAATTTAAAAACTTCATGACCACAGACCACCTCAAACCAGAAATACCTCAGAATTTTCTACTTGTATGAGTTTTATTATATATTTTGTTAGTTGTGTTGTCTTGTAGTAAGTATATTTTAATGTAAGTTGGCTTTTATGACAAGGGAGTTTTAAAAAAAGAAAAAAAAAAAGAGAAAAAAAAAGTTCCAAAATCTTTTAGGAAGTGCTACCATTTTTTTTGTTTGTTTGTTTTATAAAGCACCATTGTAAATAACTGTATACAGTTGTAGAATAACTGCCTATATAAGGTACCTGGGCATTATTCACTCTTATTTGTGAAGGCTGTTTCCATTCTCTGTTCATTTTTTTGGTCTGTTTTAGTGAAAGGACAGTACATCTTTTTTTTATAATTTTTTTTTTATTTTATTTTTTTTTTACTTTGAATATACCATGAATTCTATGTCTTGCTGGACTGATAAAGTTATGTCTATTGGATGGCCAGAACTTCTAAATTTCCCTTTGTATTAAGCCAAAATGCAGTCCTAAACTAATCACCCTGTAACGAAAATGTAAAGTGTGTATTATATAAATGAATTGGACTTCTTGCCACTGCCAAATTGTCAGCGTGCACCCTTGCACAGATATAATTTATTAAGCGAACAAAATGGCTGATTGGAGAAAATATAAAGAAAATTAAAATATATTTCTTGAAAAAATATAGCTTTAAAACCTAGAGGTCACAAATGAGGACATGGTCCTTTATCTTGAAGAGACATTAAGATAATTGCCTTAATTTGTCTATCTGAATAAAGTCTTAACCTATTCTTTCAAGTTACTGAATGTATATTGCATATTAGTATGTACACACATGTAACTGTATTTCTGTGTGTAGGTTTGGAAGTTTCTGTTTCTTGATGTGCTTCTGTTGAGAACACCTTGACAAAACCAGACAGGACAAAACCATTCTGACCAAGTGATGTCCCTGGTGGGGGCTGGCATCTTTGGGCCTGATGCTGCAACATACCTGTGCTTAGCATTAAGCATGTAGGTAGCTCTTCTGGTATCATGATGTTGGGCGCTCACTTAATGTTAAGTGTGGTTGTAAACATTTGCAGGATCAGTATTTTTCATGTTTAATACATTTCTGCACTGAGATTTATATAAAAATGTGACTATGTTTTAGAAGTGAAGTGATGTAAGGGTTGGGGTGGAGCGTAGAGCAGTTACGATTGAGTGAATACTTGTTTCAAGGTGGACTTGCTCCCATTTCCCCAGGAATGGGAGCCAGTTCATATTGTTGCAGAAAGAAAAAAGCTGTACTGTCTTTTAACTGTTATTATCTGTTTGGTGTTCTGGATTTTTTCCTTCAGCATTATGTATTATGGCTAAAACAGGCTTATTACAGCAGTTGCTTTTTTTATCCTAATTTCTTTAAGAAGCTTTAAAGTATTTATTGAAAGTGCCATATGATTTTAATAGCCTATTAGTCTCTGAAATCTTCTCTTTTGAGAAAGCATAAACAAAAATTCTCACATGTAGCTTATCTTACTGTGGGGAACTGCACAACTATACAAACTTTGACTGAATGTTGATTGTAAAGTATTATATCTTCCCTGGTGTGATGGTTCCTTATAGATCATCTTGTCAAACAGGATTCAGAAACTGATTTTAAACAGAATTCCCAAACTGTGTGTGTGCTGAGTTAAAAATTTTAAATGTGTGTAGGTATGGGTATGTGTGTCTGTCTTGCTATTGCAGCAAAGAAGGAAATCGTGAGCTTTTGCTTATTTACTGATTTCTACAGCTAAAGCTGTTCTTTCAAACTGGAATTTATTTTATTCATGAAGACACTGTCTGATTAATTTCTTGGTTTTTCAACACTTGAGCAGTCAAGCAAGTAGTTTCCTCATCACTGATCTGGCATGTGAACTCTCACTGACAACATGATTTTGGTTCTGTTCAGTACTGCAGAGTCTTTTTCCAAGTCGGCATGGGCACATCCATAGGTGTAGCTGTGAGAAGCAATTGTGGCTTTTTCCCCCTTAACACTCCCTTGAATATGATGGGTACAACACCTCTTAAGTTACTTCCTAAGCTCTAAATTTCACTTCCCATTCAGACTTGGAGGATGTAGCTCTTCAAAAACTTTGCTGCACAACTTTTTGTTGACCTTCATCTCTTGTATGGCAGTTCGTATGTGACTATGAACCTTGGGCAAAAATTCCTCTTGACTTTAGGAGCCAGGATTACCCATCAGGATCCCCATCCCCATGTGATGTAACTCCCTTTATGAATTTATTGCACTGACTGGGCTGGATTCCTAGGTGGAGAATGTTTGAATTCACAATTTGAATCTGGAAATGCCACAGAAACTAAAATTGCTTGGTTTGATATGATAGTGAATTTCTAATGAAATTGTAGTAGTGCAGCAAGGCTGGAAATTGTATGTGTCTCATATGCATGCCTATATGCATGGCTATAAACCAATCTAACCATCAGTTAAGTAATACCAGGCTTATTCATTATGATTAAGGATTTTAGCTAGTCCTGATCACAGTTTTCTCTAAGACAAAAGAAAACCACTTTTTATTCTACTTCATTTTTCAGCTGCAATTCTCTTACAGAATATACTATGCTGGATAAAGTTACACCTATGGAAATGCTGAGATCTTTGTGTATGTTTGTTTCAAAGAGAAGGTCCGTGAGTGCCCTCAGTAACTGTACTGCATTTCACTTGTCTCTTGGCTCACTACTGTTCCCACTTGGAGTTGCTGGTTTCAGTAGGAGCAGCAGAAGCCTTGGGACCCCTTGGTGCAATGTTGCTGGGGAGTATTTCCAGGTTGGCAGGGTCAGGCCTCGCCGTGGGGAATCCTGATCCCCGTTAGTATCACAGCATGGAAACCAGAGAGCACGCATTTTATTACTCTTGTGCTACTTCTAGGCAGACTGTCAGAACTTACCCTGCCTTACTGGGGAAGGATCTGGTTTCATTTAGTATGGAAGAAACTCGTATTGCAGAGGAAGGTCTTGGTCAGTAATGTCATGACAGTGCTGTTGTTTCAGTCCTCTTCAAGCCACACTCCACTTGAGAAGTTGCTAAGCAGGAAGTGTCCCACAAACTATCATCGCTTTTTACATACAGAATCTTGTTTGGTAACATTGTAAATAATATAGACTATATAATAGAGGAAAATAAGGACATTTTGACTTTTTTACTTTTGGAAAAATAAATATATATATTTTAGTTACATATACAAACAAAAATTCTACATTGTGTGAGAATTCTTTTATACCACAAATTATTTTTGTAATGTCTGATATGTTTCTGCAGGGAAAAGGGAGAAAGGTCTGTGTACGCACAGCAAATAAATATATATATATAATGTTTAAATTAAGTGTGCACTACATCAAAGTCTAGACAATAGAACAAGTTTAGCCTGAAACGAGTTTGAGGCAAAAGTTTAGATGTACT